TGAACAACGTCGGCACTGCCGTGGATACGAAGGCGGTCGAGCGTGGTCCTGGCCACGCCGGAGGTCCACTCAGCCTTAAACAAGCACCCGGTGCGGTGTGTAAACATCGGCTCAAGGCACTCGCGACCACAACTTGCCCTGGCGTACTTTGTACGCCACGTGTGTAGCAATGCGTGTAAACACGTGTGTGATATTAAACATCGATTGCAGGCCGATCAGCGAACCACGTGTTAAATCAAACGCGTAATAATATGTTTATAGTTCAGCTAAGTTGTGTTTTACATGAATTGTTTTCTTGAGACACGAGAGCTGTATTTAGATGTGTGTGTGTGGATAATCACGTAGAATAATGTGCATCCCTTTGCCTCTATATAGCACAGGACTCCATCTGTACCATTCTTCTATGAGGTTGTAATAGGGTGCATGCGTGATGGTGGTTGTGATGATGGGTGTTGATTGGTTTGTTGTGATGGTGATGATGGATGTTGGTTTGTTGTGATGGTGGTGATGGGTGTTGGTTTGCCTTTTTTTAACACAGTTGTTGAGCACAGAGCCCGAACGTGTAAAACTTCAACCGGCCAGCAACAAATAGCACCGTTATCAACGTTGCTATGTAATGCGAGTGTAACACGTGTGGTGAACTGAGCGAGGTTTTTCATTGTTAAGAGCTTAGGATGAGAGACGATGATGGGAGGAGCGAAGTCCAAAGTGGAGCAGGTGGAGCAAGCGACTGGGTGAGTGAGTGAGTGGGTGAGTGAGTGAGTTGGTGAGTGGGTGGGTGAGTGAGTGAGTGGGTGAGTGGGTGGGTGAGTGAGTGGGTGAGTGAGTGAGTGGGTGAGTGAGTGGGTGAGTGATTGGGTGAGTGAGTGAGTGAGTGAATAGGTGAGTGAGTGAGTAGGTGAGTGAGGGGGTGGGTGAGTGAGTGAGTGTGTGAGTGGGTGAGTGAGTGGGTGAGTGGGTAAGTGATTGGGTGATTGGGTGAGTGAGTGAGTGAGTAGGTGAGTGAGTGAGTGAGTAGGTGAGTGAGTGGGCGTGTTGTTGCGGTCTACAGTGTGGTGAGTCGGTGAGCGAGTGACTTGTTGTGACCTGCAGTGTCATGAGTGCATGAGTGAGTAAGTTGTTGTGACCTGCAGTGTGGTGAGTGAGTTGCTGTGTTGTGAGTGCTTAGTACATGTTATTTTTTTACAGGGCGCCTGGTCTATCCGCTGCTGAATGAAGATTTCCCCACGCTGTCAGCTGCTACTGCTGCCATCCATCTCACTCCTGGCCATGAACTGATCTGGTCACTCCATCTCCGCGGCTATCGTCCTCTCAGGGCGTGTGGTGGGGGGAGGGGAGATTCTCTCCTTTGACTGCCATTCCGTCCGCAAGTCTCGTCCACCTCGCTGTCGAGCGATGCGTCCATGCCCTAGGACACCTCATTTTCCTCTTCTTCAAATTTACATCCCTGATTTGTGTGAGTTCCCTGGCCCACAGGGTCCATGTGCACACACGTGTGCATGGATACAGCTGATGCGTACGTAGACGTTGTGGGGAACTCACTAGGGCACCACAGCGCTTGTACACGCGCGTGTGTGAACTTAGATCTTTTTTCGCACCATGCGTAGCCAACCGTGCTAATCGGAGGAGTGCATTGTGTCTGGGTGTAGTGGGGAGCGGTGGCACAGTGGTTAGCGCGCTGCGCTTGGAACCCGGCGACACGAAGTCCATTCCCACTCACGGCCAACACCAGTGACGATCATCTCAAACCTGTCCCGGGTCTCCCCTAGGTCGACTCCAATGAGTACCTAGTGGCGATGTGTTCACAGTGGCGATGTGTTCACATGTGTTCACATCGCCACTAGGGAGACAAAGGTGGTCGGGCGTGGTGCTGCCCACCCAACCCCTCACATGCCATGCCGACCTTTATAACAGCACTTACCCCTGCAGTCTATGAAGGCTATACGGGGGATCTTTGTCTTTGTGTGATGACGACAACTGAGACGCAGGATAACACTACAGAGGCGGTTAACGTTCCTGACGGTGCACGTGCGCATTCAACACGTGCCGTGATTATGGCCCGTGAACCGAAACGTCGTCTTTATTTTCTGTCGCTTCGAATTGGGATCGACTCTCGTCGCATTTTGTCTGTTTGTTTAAACCCTGAACCGGTGCGGGTGGTGCAGTGCATGGCGTCACTTCGCTGTCGTGAACCTCGCGTCCGAAGTTGGTGTCCTGTCAGTGGCGATGTGGCATCGCAAACTCGTCTCGGCTCTCCTGACCCTCTTCGTGACCAGTGTGGTGAAGTATGGTCAAACAGCACCCCCTCCTCCGCCCCTACGACAGGCTGAACGTGATTTAATATTTAATGATATGTTACCTGTTGTATAACGTGACTTGGAACCTGCACAATGCACACGGTCTCTCGCGATGCACAATCGTTTATGCAATCGGATAGAGGTTCCATTGTAGTGTGTGTGTGTGTGTTGGACTTTCTTCGCACCGTACGTTGCCAACCGTGCTAATCGGAGTTGTCTGGGGGGTGGGGGGGGGGGGGGGTGACAACAACAAACTGAACACAACAACAAGCAGTTCTAAAGTAAAATTAATTATCAAAAAGTACAGTAGTGGAATCATTAAAATTTCCCCCGTTGAATAATAATAATAAATAGTAATACGGTCATCGTTGTAATGTGGGCGACCTCCGATGACAACGAGACCCCATGCCAGGCAGTCCCGTGTCTCCACAGCGGCGATGTCAACACGCACGCCTGCAGCAAGACCCTCGACTCGTTTAAGGCTGAGTCGACCTAGGGAGGGGGGAGGCCCACGATCTCGGGGGGGCGGGGGGTATCGGGGTTCTCAGTGCGCCGTCGCTCACCACAATCAACAAAGACAAAGATCCCCCGTGCAGCCTCAACACGGGGCAAGTGCTGTTAGCGAGTAGTACCGACGAAGCCCGGCACGGCGCGCGACCGCCTTTGTCATCGCAGTCGCGACGTCTGTACGCCGCACCAGGTTCTCGTTTTAAAGCTGAGTCGACCTAGGGGTGGCACACACACAACTTTTTTTTCGAACTGCTTTTCGTGTTTAGTTTGTTGTCCTTCCCTCTTGTGGATCTGTCTCTTGTGGATCTCTCTCTGTCTCTCTTGTGGATCTCTGTCTCTCTTGTGGATTTCTCTCTCTCCTGGATCTGTCTCTTGTGGATATCTCTCCCGTGGATCTGTCTCTTGTGGATCTCTCTCTGTCTCTTGTGGATCTCTCTCCCGTGGATCTCTCTCTGTCTCTTGTGGATCTGTCTCTTGTGGATCTCTCTCTTGTGGATCTCTCTCTCGTGGATCTCTCTCTCTCCACCGCAGGAACGCGCAATGCGTGCGGCGGCCTCCGGTGGGCCTTCGTCGAGCAGTGGATAGATCGTGCCCGATTGATGACTGACGATGTCCGTGCGCCTCTGTGTGCTCGCCGGTGTGATGCTGTGCTAACTTCACACGCGCCCACAACAACACGCAGGCAGATCGAGCCCTGATGACAGACATGCACCAACACACGCCTTAACAGGCTGCTGGGGCAAGTGCTGTTAGCGAGCAGCGACTATGAAGGTTAGCACGGAATACGAGTGGGTGGGGAGCCAGCACCACGCCCGGCCGCCTTTGTCTCCCCAATGTTGATGTTTTACACACACACCGTCACCGATGCTGTTGGCCGCGTCCGGGAATTGAACTCGGGTCACCCGATTCGTAGCGCAGTGCGCTAACCACTACACCACCGCTCCCCCCGACACACGCTCACTCATACCCCCAGGCAAACACAAACACACACCACACAACTCACTCGCTCACGCAAACACACACGCGCGCACACTCTCATTCACACGCAATATCACACACACGCACTGAGGCACACTCATACGTACACACACTCGCACGCTCACTCGCGCACACACAGGCAAAAACAACAAAGACACGCACTGACACACACACACACACTGGCACACACACCCTCGCTCGCCGTTCGGGCATCGATAGGCGCTCGTAGCGGTCACTTGTGCGTAACTCAAGCGTAACTTACGCGTGACCATAACGTCGAGTTAAGTTCCAGGATAGGAGCACGATCATGTTTCCCGTAAGACAAATGTCGTTGAGTGCCGGTGAGATTATTAGGGTTAGTATGAGTGAGTTTTTAAGTATGTTAGTAAGAGTGTTGGCGAGTGTAATAGTGTGGGTAGCGCTACGCTACGCTCCGAACCCGGCGATCCAAGTTCGATTCCCGCTCACGGCCTACACCGGTGACGATTATCTGAAATGGTCCTGGGCCTCTCCTAGGTCGACTCAGCATCAAATGAGTACCTGGCATGCTGTGTAAACATCGCCACTGGAGAGACAAAGGCGGTCGGGCACGGTGCTGGCCACCCACCTCCTCGTGAGGCGTGCCGGCCTTCATAGGTGCTCGCTTACAGTACTTGCCCCAACAGTCTGTTAAGGCTATACGGGGGATCTTTGTCTTTGGCAGTTAGTGTGTGTTCGTACAAATGTTAGTAGGAACGTTAGTATCGCTGTATTAGTGGGAGTGCTAATGTAGCGAGTGTTGGGTCTGTGAGTGTCTCATGAGTGTTAGTGAACGTGTTACTATTAAATAGACTGTTATGGTTTAGCGTTCGGCCCAATGTTAGCGCGGGTGTTAGTGAATGTGTTAGCAAGAGTGTGAATGAGTGTATTCGTGGAAGTGTCAGTGAGAGTGTGAATGAGTGTGTCAATGAAAGTGTTAGTGAAAGTGAGACTGAGTGTGCCAGTGGAAGTGCCAGTGAGACAGTGAAAGAGTGTGTCAATGGAAGTGCCAGTGAAAGTGTGAGAGAGTGTGCTAGTGGAAGTGCCAGTGAGATAGTGAAAGAGTGTGTCAGTGGAAGTGTCAGTGAAAGTGAGACTGAGTGTGCCAATGAAAGTGCCAGTGAGAGTGTGAGAGAGAGTGCTAGTGGAAGTGCCAGTGAGAGAGTGGATCCCAAATCAACCGACATCCGCGTCATAAAAAGAACCCATTCTCTTTAATTCAAATTTATCGCGCAGAGAGGGGAAAAAACAAACAAAACAAGAGTCAAGAATTGTAGCTTCTATCAAAACACCGAAATGAAACAATAACAAACAATAAATAACAAGGAGCTCAATTGAATCGCTTTTAAAGTGTAAAAAAGAAAACAATATCGCAAGCACACCAAACACAATTGTCATTGGCATTAATAAATTACGTAAAAAAATCATCATCATGATTATTATCATGATAATAATCATTATTACAATAAGAAAAAAATCAAGCACGCTGTTCTCGATTCGACAACACCAATGACCCGAGTCTGCCCGAAAGCGTCGCGGCTCCGGCGGGCCAACGTGGGGCACGGAACAGACTCAGTCGAGGCATCAATTGTAATGACGTAGGCACCGTGGATCAGTAGTTCATAGGTCAACCCTGATTTACACCGCAGTATGAAAACCCAAAAAGAAAAAAAAAACAGTCTCTGTGTTGCACCGTCATAACCACCACCACCATCATCTTCACCATCACTATCATCATCATCTTCACCATCATCATCATCGACGGTCCTCTCGCCCTGGTGCTATTCAAATAGTCACACGACGTAGAAGAAGAGAAAGTGTCTTCCTGTTCAAGCGTTGGTGACCCAGAGGTCAGCAGTAAAGTGGAAATTCCACATTCGCATGGCGGGCGGCCAGTCTCTCCCATGCTCCCCGACGATCGCTGCCGACTTTCCTGCAAAGTGGTGCTCACTTTCACGACCCTGCAGGGATGATTGGCCAAGCGACGCGACCCCCCCCCCCGCCCCGTCGCTCGCCGAGATGATTCACGTCAAAAAACTCGCAACCTTCGCGATTGAGAGTCGAGCACCCAGACCACCGTGCAAATAATTACGCGCGTAGCCATTAATTAGTTCGTGACGCACATACGTCCACACATATATAAACAAAGCACCATGGACGTAGAGATGCGCGCTGGCTCGAGAGTCGCCGACCGCCACGGCTCCCCCCATCACGAGTCGAAGCGCCTGAACCTGTGGCTGGGGGGCAAAGGCAGCACAGCCCCCCCAAGGCGCCACCTCCACACGGGGTGGCCGCTGTGGCCGTGAGCGGCGGCGCCCCGAGAGCAGCTCACGGAGTAGGCGGGGCACAGGTCCCCGTCGGAGCCCACCACCAGCGACGCCGGGGACGCGAAATTCCCCATCAAGTCGAAGGCCCTCTTGCCCAGCGCCGCCGCAGTGGCCACTGCCGTCGCCGCGGCCGCCGCGGCCGCCGCGGCCGCCGTCGCTTTGCGCTTCCTCGGCGGCGGCGGCCCGGAGGAGCGCGTGGCTGGCGAGGAGGCCGCGGTGCACGGATCGGTCGCGTTCCCTGAGACGAGGCCGGCGGGGCCCGCCCTGTGCCTCGACGATCGCGTCTGCACCCGGTCTCCTCCTCTTCCTCCACTCCTCTCTACTCCACTCCTCTCTACTGCACTCCTCTCCCCTCCACTCCTCTCTACTCCACTCCTCTCTGCTCCACTCCTCTCTACTCCACTCCTCTCTGCTCCACTCCTCTCTACTCCACTCCTCTCTGCTCCACTCCTCCCTGCTCCACTCCTCCCTGCTCCACTCCTCTCTACTCCACTCCTCTCTGCTCCAATCCTCTCTGCTCCACTCCTCTCTGCTCCATTCCTCTCTACTCCATTCCTCTCTACTCCACTCCTCTCTGCTCCACTCCTCTCTACTCCACTCCTCTCTACTCCACTCCTCTCTACTCCACTCCTCTCTACTCCACTCCTCTCTACTCCACTCCTCTCTACTCCACTCCTCTCTACTCCACTCCTCTCTACTCCACTCCTCTCCGCTCCACTCCTCTCCGCTCCACTCCTCGCTACTCCATGCATCTCTGCTCCACTTCTCTCTGCTCCACTCCTCTCTACTCCATGCATCTCTGCTCCAATCCTCTTTGCTCCACTCCTCTCTACTCCACTCCTCTCTACTCCACTCCTCTTTGCTCCATGCCTCTCTGCTCCACTCCTCTCTACTCCACTCCTCTTTGCTCCACTCCTGACTTTGTGAGTGTTGTCTTCTCCAGCCCCATCTTGGTGGTTGCTGTGCTCACGGTTCCGGTCTTTCCGAGTCCTCTCTTCATCACGAATCGCTTCACGAGCACCGCCTCCACGGGCCCGACCTTCACTACCCCTGCCTCCACGAGCCCCGTCTCCTCGCCTCGCATCTCGTTGACTCGAATCTCCGCGATGGCCGTCCACGTCTTCCCGAGAATTTGTTTCGCGCTTGCTCTGTTCATGAGCCTTGTCTTTAGTCGCCCTGTGGTCGTGAGGTCTGCATTCGTGAGCCCTCTCTTCAACCTCCCTGTCTTCACGGCTCCCGTCTTGACGATACATCTCTTGCTGGGGTCGTGGTTCATGGGTCCCGGCATTACCGACGCTGCCTTCACGAGGCCGATATTCAGTAGTCCTACGCTTAAGATCCATACCTGTGTTAGCCCTGCCTTCACTACCCCTGCCTTCACTACCCCTGCCTTCACTAACCCTGCCTTCACTACCCCTGCCTTCACTACCCCTGCCTTCACTACCCCTCCCTTCACTAACCCTGCCTTCACTAACCCTGCCTTCACTAACCCTGCCTTCACTACCCCTGCCTTCACTACCCCTGCCTTCACTACCCCTGCCTTCACTAACCCTGCCTTCACTAACCCTGCCTTCACTAACCCTGCCTTCACTACCCCTGCCTTCACTACCCCTGCCTTCACTACCCCTGCCTTCACTAACCCTGCCTTCACTACCCCTACCTTCACTACCCCTGCCTTCACTACCCCTTCCTTCACTAACCCTGCCTTCACTAACCCTGCCTTCACTAACCCTGCCTTCACTACCCCTGCCTTCATTAACCCTACCTTCACTACTCCTGCCTTCACTACCCCTGCCTTCACTAACCCTGCCTTCACTAACCCTGCCTTCACTAACCCTGCCTTCACTACCCCTGCCTTCACTACCCCTGCCTTCACTAACCCTGCCTTCATTAACCCTACCTTCACTACCCCTGCCTTCACGACCCCTGCCTTCACTACCCCTGCCTTCACTAACCCTACCTTCACTACCCCTGCCTTCACTACCCCTACCATCACTACCCCTTCCTTCACTACCCCTGCCTTCACTACCCCTGCCTTCACTACCCATGCCTTCACTACCCCTTCCTTCACTACCCCTGCCTTCACTACCCCTGCCTTCACTACCCCTGCCTTCACTAACCCTACCTTCACTAACCCTACCTTCACTACCCCTGCCTTCACTAACCCTACCTTCACTACCCCTGCCTTCACTACCCCTGCCTTCACTACCCCTGCCTTCACTACCCCTGCCTTCACTACCTCTACCAACACGAGTTCTATCTTCCTGCGTCTGCCCTTTGCAACACTCGCCCGCTGGCTGCCTCCTCTTGCACGAGGTGCGTTCTCGTGCGCTTAAAGTGCGTGCAGGTCGCGTGCTCGCTTGCTTTGAGGTAGTCGAGGTGGCGGCATTACCGTGGCGACCACTACTACTACGACGACAACAACAACAACTGTTGCTGTGACAACATCTACTGAGGCTGTTGCTATCCTTGCTGCTGCTGCTGATTTCAGGCATCTTTGGGCTGTAGCGCATAGCTTGCGGATCGCCTCTGTTCGAGGTTTCCAGGGCCTTTGCCCCCTTGCTCCTCCTCCTCCTCTTCGGAGGTCGAGGTTGCGCTGCTCTCACGCACAGCCGACGTTCAACTTTATAATCGGCAGCAGCAGCAGCGACAGCAGGAGCAGAGGGAACAGCAACAGCAGTGACAGCAGCGGTGGCAGCAGCAGCGGTGACTAAATTAACAGCAGCATGGGCGACAGAGCCGGCCATAACGGCGACGGCTACATCGTCGCCATCGTCGTCACAAATGACAGCAGCTCTCCGCCTTTTCCGAGCAGCGCGTAGGACAGCGTGGCCATCAGCAACCCCTGCCGCTGTCGTCTTAATCAACAACAACGACGACGATGATGAAAGTGACGATGTCCATGATGATGCTAACGTCGTTGATGATGACGTCAATGATGATGATGATGTTGTTGTTGATGATGATGGCACTGATGATGGTGATGTTGTTGATGATGATAGCACTGATGATGATGTTGTTGTTGATGATGATGGCACTGATGATGATGATGTTGTTGTTGATGATGGCACTGATGATGATGATGTTGTTGTTGATGATGATGGCACTGATGATGATGATGTTGTTGTTGATGATGATGATGGCACTGATGATAACGATGTTGTTGTTGATGATGATGGCACTGATGATGATGATGTTGATGATGGCACTGATGATGATGATGTTGTTGTTGATGATGATGGCACTGATGATGATGATGATGACGATGTTGTTGTTGATGATGATGGCACTGATGATGGTAACGAGGAAGACCGCTGGAAGCTTCCCGCGTCTCTTCTGCTGCCGGACGGCCGCGACCTCCCGCGCGCGTTCCACTGCTGCTCGAGTCGCGTCCGACGCGGTGCGGATTTGACGGCGACTGCGATTCGCGCGCCCCCGCAGTCATCAGCAGCTCTCCGAGACATCTTCCGTAACTTCCGCTCATCAACTTCCTCCTCCTCATCATGCTCATCGCCACCGTTACCGTTCTTACGATCGTCATAATCGCCACCATGCTTCCGCTCATCACCACCACCACCACCATCATAATCCTTCTTGGTTACGCGACCAACAACACCGCCACCACCGTAATCCTTCTTCCGTTCGTCGGCAACGCCATCGAGATCCGCCCGCTCGCCACCGCGGAGCGAGCGGGCCAGGAAGCCGCAGCGCGGGCGCCCAGCGGCGGGGGGGACGTGGAGCAGGGGGGGGGCCGTGGGCCGCGCGTCGCCCCGCAGGAGGGCGTGGAAACTCGGGGCGGCGGTAGCGGCGCTGCGCTCCGCTACCTCCCCCCACACGCTTCCCCTGGGCCCCGCGGGGGACACAGCGAGACCCCCAAACAAGGGCTGCTGCTGCTGTTGTTGTTGTTGTTGTTGCTGAAACGCGCCCCCGCCGTAAGAGTTCCCAGCGCCGAGCGCCGCGGGGCCCGGGTGCCGGAATCGGATGCTCTGCATCGAGGCCCGACTCGAGGCCGAGTCGGAAGAGGCGGCGTCGATGTCGTTCTCATCATCATCGTCGTCGTCACTCGCCGATGTCGCCTCCGAGGTGGAGCAGAACGTGGAGTCATCCTCATCACCATCATCGCCCTCGTCATCATCATCATCATCGTCTTCTTCATCGTCGTCGTCGGCCTCGTTGTAATCGTAGTGGTAAACACGAGCATCGCCGCCGCCGCTGCTATCGTCGCCTTTTCGTTTGGCCGGTCTCACCCTCCTGCACCCCGCTCCTGCCGTCTCGCCTGGCTCGTTGTAATCGTAAACACGGTCGCCATCTAAACTTTCTTCCGCCGCAGCCTCCTCCTCGTCGTCGTCGTCATCATCATCATCATCACAGTAATCATCGTCATCATCATCGTCGGAGTCGGAGTCCGTCCCTGCGACGCTGCACGCATCGCGCGCGCCTCGCGCCGCCTGCCGCCCGCCGTGACCCCACGCCGCTGGGGCGCACGCGAGCGGCTGCCCTCTCTGCCGCGTTAATCCGGGAACAAAGGTTGCCACCTCGTCCACCTCCTCGGCGCGGTGGCGCTTCTTCTTCTGCTGCCGCTGCTGACTCGGCGCGTGCGCAACTTTGCCCGGCGGCGGATGCGCGAACGAGGAGGACGTCTCCACCACCACCTCGTCTGCCGCCGCCCTGCGCGACGAACCCGTCAGGCAGTAGCCGAGCGGCGCGCCAGCGGACGCCGCCGTGATCGTGCGTGCGCTCGGCATCACCATCATCATCGTCGTCGTCGTTGTCATCGACGCAGATGCCGACATCTGCACGACGGAGCGGTTCACGACGGCCACGGCGCCCCGCGCCGGTGACGTCGCCGCCGCCGCGGCCGCCACCGCTGCGAAGGAGGCGGAGGAGGAGGAGGAACTTGGAGCCGCGGAGCCGAGCAGCAGAGGCCGCCAGTCGAAGCCGCCGCCGCCGCATCCCGGCCAGGCCGCGTCCACGGTCGGGGGAACGCGCCGCGCGGAGAGCTTCGGGGGAGCGCGGTGGTGGTTGTGCTGCTGCGGGTGGTGGTGGTGGTGGTGGTTGTGCTGCTGCGGGTGGTGGTGCTGCTGCTGCTGGTGGTGGTGCTGGTGGTGGACGAGCAAGACGCCCCCTGCATCCTCACCGAGACGGTTCTCCTTCGCCGAGGAGTTTGAGTTGCAGTCGCTGAATGAGGTCGCGTCTTCGGCGGGGAGAGGTCGCGACCACCGCTGCTGCTGCTCGTGCTGCTGCTGTTGCTGCTGCTGCTGCTGTTGCTGCTTCTTCTGCTGCTGCTTCTGTTGGACTCTGCGCCTCTTAGTCCTGAGCACTCGCTCGGAGCGGCACGAGCGGTAGAGCGCCTCGACGTCCCTGCGCGAGATGAGCGTGCATTTGGCGGCGTGGAAGGCGATGGAGCGCATCTCCTTGAGCTCGCGCAGGCCCTGCAGGTCGCAGTAGTGCTTCGTCACGTTCAGGTGGTCCATGCGCTTGTGCACCGTGGTGCGCGGAATGTTCTTGAGCAGGTCGGTGAACACCTGCGACAAGGCGAACATCTGCGCGCCGCCGACCAGCAGGTAGCCCAGGCTCACTCCGTCCACGGACGCGAAGCCCGAACGAGGCAGACCCGTGGTGCCGTTGGGCCAGTGGAGGCCGCCACCAACACCACCACCACCTCCTCCACCTCCTCCTCCGTGTGGCCTCTTTATCGCGGCCGAGTATAGAGGTGGCTTTGAAGCGCCCAGAGGAGAGGCGCTCAATATAGTAGTGTTCGCCATGCAGCGCTTCTGCAACGAAATATGCGCAGGTGAGTGTGTGTGTGTGTGTAGCGTACCGGGTGAGGTGTGTAAACGTCGCCACTGGGGAGACAAAGGCGGCCGGGCGTGGTGCTGGCCACCCACCCCCTCGTGTGCCGTTCCGGTCTTCGTAGGTGCTCGCTAACAGCACTTGCCCCTACAGTCTGTTACAGGCTATACGGGGGATCTTTGTTTTGTGTGTGTGAGAACGTGTGTGTGTGTGTGTGAGAACGTGTGTGTGTGTGAGAACGTGTGTGTATGTGTGTGAGAACGTGTGTGTGTGAGAACGTGTCTGTGTGTGTGTGTGAGAACGTGTGTGTGTGTAAGAACGTGTGTGTGTGAGAACGTGTGTGTGTGAGAACGTGTGTGTGTGTGTGTGAGAACGTGTCTGTGTGTGTGTGAGAACGTGTGTGTGTGCACGTGCAATGAAGCACACACCTGTACGCAAATGCGGGCAATTGTAAATACAGTCGTGCAGGTACTGCACACGCGGGCAATCGTAGCCTCGCACAATGGCACACACGAATATGTCATGCCAGACACATTCTCGGGCGTCGAGCACAATCACCACCTTCATTATACACAAAGATCCCCCGTAGAGCCTACACGGACTTTTGGGGCAAGTGCTGGTGGCGAGCACCTCTCATGACCACACGTATACAACCAAACGCTGGCATGCATTCACCATCACGTACACACAGACACGTGCGAAAATATAACAATCAAATACCAGCTCTTGTAATCACACACTCGCTCAAGCAATCAGACCCCACTCTCCCATACAATCACATACACACATAGATATACACACTCCCATACAAGACAAAAGAGAAAATCCACCGTATCGCCTTAACAGGCTGTTGGGGCAAGTGCTGTTAACGAGCACCTATGCCGGCCGCCTTTGTCTCCCCAGTGGCGATGTTTACACACCGCACCAGGTAGTTATTTGAGACTGAGTCGATCTAAGGGAGACCCAGGACCGGTTCAGCTAATCCTCAATGGTGTTGGTAGCCGTGAGCGGGAATCGAACTCGGGTGGCCGGGTTCGTAGCGCAGCGCGCTCACCGCTACACTGCCGCTCCCTATACAACCACACACACACATACACTTCCATACAATCACAAACACACACTCCCATGCAATCCCTCTCACACACACACATACACTCCCATACAATCACACACACTCCCATACAATCCCTCTCACACACACACACTCCCATACAATCCCTCTCACACACATACACTCCCATACAATCCCTCTCACACACACACCGTTAACAATCACACGCACGCTCTCACTACAGTGGCATACACACGCACAGACACGCACAGACACGCACGCGGCAAAGACGCGGCACATCAAACGCCGACTACACTCGCCTCCTTTGTGTTATTTAAACCATCGTAACGGCAACTGAAACATACGATTACAATTAATCCGCACTAGCGTCATTGTTTTAATATCGCTGCTGCTGATGCTGCTTGCAAGGACAACAATACACCTCCCCGCATTCACTTGAATCGCTCCAGCACCCCGCCCGCTCTCCCCTTTGTCAATCCACCGCTGGATGGATGGACGCCTCTCCACGCCGCCGTGTGTCGTGGACACGTAGCATTCGTTTGACCATACTTCACCGCGCTGGTCAGTCGGTCAGAGTTGTGCAGGCGGCACGCCGGTTCAGACAAGACGATCACTCGCCGCTGGCATCTCGAGCCGTGACCGGCATGGGTTGCTGGGTGGGGAGGGGTGGTCGGTCCGAGGTGGCCGGTGTCGTCATCACGCAAAATCAGGCGAAATAGAAATACAGAGAGACACAGACAGAGACACAGACAGAGAGAGACAGACAGAGAGACACACACAGACAGAGAGAGAGACATAGACAGAGAGACACAGAAAGAGACACACAGAGACACAGAGAGAGACACAGACAGAGACACAGACAGACACACAGACAGAGAGAGACAGAGAGAGAGACACAGACAGAGAGAGACAGAGAGAGAGACACAGACAGAGAGAGACACAGACAGAGAGAGACACAGACAGAGACACAGATAGACAGAGACACAGACAGAGAGAGACACACAGAGAGACAGAGAGAGACACACACAGAGAGACAGACAGAGAGAGAGAGACACAGACAGAGAGACAGACAGAGAGAGAGAGACACAGACAGACAGACAAAGAGAGACACAGAGAGAGACACACAGACAAGAGATATATACAGAGAGAGAGAGAGAGACACAGACAGGGAGACAGACAGAGAGGGAGACAGACAGAGAGAGAGAGACACAGAGAGAGCGACACACGGACAGAGTGAGCGAGACAGACAGAGCGAGAGAGCCCCCTTCACCCACATACCTCCACATTCACCCGAATCCGAGCAGCGGCAGACGCGAGTCGCTTGCGACTGCGAGCGACGTTGCTCCCGGTTGACGCAACCGAGACGTTCGCGCATGGGTGAAACTTTAAGTTGCTGCTGCCACTGGCGATGAGTCGCGTGGATGCGGCGGGGGCGGCGGCGGCGGCCCCGGCCGGCGCGCCTCGTTGTGCGACTGGCACGAGGCGTGCAGGCGCGGCTACTGAGGCCGCTCCTCGCGAACCACCTTCGGCAATTAATTTCATTGAGACGCGCTCTGATTGGACGGCGCAGACAGGTCACGGAGAGGAACCCCCACCACAAACCCCCTCCTCCCTCCTCCTCGTCCCCCCACCACCACCACCATCGCTCTCTCCCTCTTCCACCCCCCCCCTCCTCTCCTCCACCGACCGCCCCTGGCCCCCTATTCCATTCCCCCATCGTTCTTCCAGCCACCCAGGCATCGTCCCTCCTGCCCCCTTCTCTCGCTCATACACGCGACTCGACCATCACAATGCCCACCTCTCTTCATCCAACAAACGATCCCACGGTACAGCCTTTAACAGACTTCTGGGACAAGTGCTATCCGCGAGCACCTATGAAGGCCAGCACACACACACGCACGCGTGTGTGTGTGTGTGTGCTGGCCACACACCCCTTCGTGTGCCGTGCCGGCCTTCATTGGTGCTGCTATTCACGAACAGCACTTGCCCCAACACTCTGTTAAAGGCTATAAGGGGGATCTTTGTCTTTGTGTACACACGCACGCACAAACCCGCGCCGCTTTCCTCCCCCTCCCCGCACCCTACCCCCCATGACCCCCCCCCCCCCACACACACAGAGATTTGCATGACGCCGCAGGTCGCCTTATCTCTAGGAAAGTCAATCAACGTGCAGAGACAGTCGGCAATTTAAGTAACGAGTCGAAGGTTGTGCGGGTGTCGACGTTGTCCGTGCACGCCGGCCAGGAGCGACGGCGCGTCGCTCAGCGCTGCGCCGCGAACCCGCAGACACCCGAGTTCGATTCCCGTTCACGGCCACCAACACCAGCGGGGGGAGGGGAGGGGAGGGGGGGGGGCGACAATTATTCTGAACCGGGTCCTGGGTCTCGCCTAGGTCGACTCAGTCTCAAAATGAGTGCCTGGCGGGATGCGTGGTTGACGCGTAAACGTCGTCACTGGCGAGACAAAGGCGGCCGGGCTCAGGCTCCCCGGGGAGGGATATCTGTCTGTATGGGGAATAACAGCAACATCAGGCGTCGCCTCCTGCTGCTGCATGCGATCTCAACCGAGCCCGTCGCGATTTCATTGCAATCTTTATTTTTTTACGGCGGCGTGACCCACCGCCAAAGCGGGAGATTCCCAGCAGTCGCTTTATTTAGTCGACGTGGGAGTTCGCAGCCGGAGATCGTGACAGAGAAAGAGAGAGACAGGGGAGAGAGAGACAGGGGAGAGAGAGACAGGGGAGAGAGAGAGGAGAGAGAGAGAGACAGGGGAGAGAGAGACAGGGGGGAGAGAGAGAGAGACAGGGGAGAGAGAGAGGAGAGAGAGAGAGGGAGATTTCCTTCCGCGCAGAGATGGAGCGAGCGACATTTCGCCTCGGTTGTGCCATGCTCTTGGGTGTCGTCGAGTCGAGAGATCGCGAGGGATGGCGACGGCCCTGGGGAGGCGTTCTTCGTCCAGCAGTGGATCGAGCATGATGGTTGCTTGGTGTGGGCGAACAGATGTGTGTGCTTGTGCGTGTGTCGACAGGGCGGCCCAAAAGTCAGGACACGGGGTTATTTTATTTTCTTTTAACACCGGTTTAACAAAAAAATTCAGAAACATTTTCAAGTTTATATTTTATCTATTATAACTATCGATCGTTTGCGTTCGTTTTCGTGTGAGGTTTATAAATGGAGAGACGACTCACTAAAGACGAACGGGTTCAATTCGTTTTTAATGTACGCTAAAGAAGGCAGCTGTAATCTTAAAAAAGGGTGTCTTTAATTAATTTAAATTAATTTCCAATGTTATTGATAATCAGTTTGAGCGTGTGTTCAAATAAAAGAAATAACCCGATGTGATTTGTTAAAATAAATATAACCCTGTGTCTTGACTTTTGGGCCGCCCTGTATGTGTATACATTATGTATACAAAGACAAAGATCCCCGTATAGCCTTAATAGACTGTTGGGGCAAGTACTGTTCACGAGCACCTATGAAGGGCAGAACGGCACACGTGGGGGTGGGTAGCCAGCAACCACGCCCGGCCGCCTTTGTCTCCCGAGTGGCGATGTTTATGCACCGCACCAGGTACTCATTTGAGGTCGAGTCGACCTAGGGGAGGCCCAAGACCGGTTCAGAGATAATCGTCACCGGTGTTGGCCGTTTGCGGGAATCGAATTCGGGTCGCCGGTTTCGTAGTGCAGCGCGCTAACCGCTACACTACCGCTCCCCATTATGTATATACGTACACACACATATATAGGATTGTGTATACCTGTACGAGTATACCTCGCATGCGTTCGTGTACACGAACAGATTTGATTCCCAAGAAGGGCGAGCGCCCTCTGAACTTGTCCTGGCCACACACTCCCTTAACCAAGCTGACAATGACCCACGTGGTGAAGTATGGTCAAACACCCCCCCCCTTCACCAACTCCACCACCCCATGACCGGCACGGCGTTAGTGGAGGCATTTATTCATTGGGATTGACAAAGGGGGCTGTACATTATTTATTCACACAAAACAGCAGCGGTCACACTCTGTGTATGCGAGGTGTTACTGTGTGCGGCGTGCGTGTGTATGTGAACCATTGGCTCCGTTGGTTGTCAGTGTTCCATAAATATCTTTAAAAAAAACTAAATACGGAAGGTTTCGCAGAACGAGCACCGGTAGAGTCCGTCGCCGATGTCTGTAACTGCGTCGTGAGCAATATCATTGCGAAAGACATCGACAGGACGCAGCAGGCACGGGGACGAATACATAGACAACACGGACAACACAGACAACATAGACAATACAGATAACATAGACAACACAGACAACATAGAAATACAGATAACATAGACAACACAGACAACACAGACAACATAGACAATACAGACAACACAGATAACATAGACAACACAGACAACACAGACAACATAGACAATACAGATAACATAGACAACACAGACAACACAGATAACATAGACAACACAGACAACATAGACAACACAGACAACACAGATAACATAGACAATACAGATAACATAGACAACACAGACAACATAGACAATACAGATAACATAGACAACACAGACAACATAGACAACACAGACAACATAGACAACACAGACAACACAGACAACACGGACAACACAGACAACACGGACAATACAGACAACACAGACAACATAGACAACACAGACAATACAGACAACATAGACAATACAGATAACATAGACAACACAGACAACACAGACGATACAGACAACATAGACAATACAGATAACATAGACAACACAGACAACACAGACACCACAGACAACACAGACAACATAGACAACACAGACAACACAGACAACATAGACAACACAGACAATACAGACAACACAGACAATACAGACAACACAGACAACACAGACAATACAGACAACATAGACAATACAGAAAACACAGACAACATAGACAACATAGACAACATAGACAACACAGACAACACAGACAACTTAGACTACATAGACAACACAGACCCAGACAACATAGACAACACAGACAACATAGACACAGACAACACAAACAACATAGACACAGACAACACAGACAACACAGACAACATAGACAACACAGACACAGACACCACAGACAACACAGACAACACAGACAACACAGACAATACAGACAACACAGACAACATAGACAACACAGACACCATAGACAACATAGACAACAGACAACACAGACAACACAGACAGCACAAACAACACAGACAACACAGACAACACAGACAACATAGACAACACAGACACAGACGACACAGACAACACAGACAACACAGACAACATAGACAATACAGACAACACAGACAATACAGACAACATAGACAACACAGACAACATAGACTATACAGACAACACAGACAACACAGACACAGACAACACAGACAACACAGTCTCCAAGGTTAAAAACCAATCCCACCGAGGTCCATCATCCCCCGCCTGCCTTGCGGGTTTTATTTTTTTTATTAGAAACATTTCCAGGCCGCATTTTGTTTTGAAGCAGACGGATGCACGGTATTCAACTTCCACCCCCCACCACGCCGAGTCTCATCAGCAGGGCTGCTGTTAAATACGTAGCGGCCCGCTCGATGCTGCTGATGTTATAGACAAGAGCCCCCCAGCACCACCACCACCACCTACACCGTGGGCCCCCCCCCCCGCCCCTACATCACGCCCGCACGCATTCGTTGTCGCTAAAAGAGCAGAGGAGGAAACGCAGCGCGCATCTTGGCACAGACCCCCGACGGCGAAGTCGTTCAAACGCGCGTCCCCTTCCGTTCGGCATCGCACAGCGAGTGGTGTGTGTACGGGGGGAGGGGAGTGCTGTTAGCGAGCACACATTAACACCGCTACGGCGCAGTGGGTGGTGGTGGTGGTGGTGGTGTTGGAACCACAACGTGGTACAAGACCCGACCGTCGGCCTTTGTCTCAAAATGCAGTTTGTGATGTGTATTCATATCCCGGCAACACCAGCCCGCCAGCCAGCAACCACCACCACCACTGCCATCACTGTACTCGGTGATATTCGTGTGTAGGCGAGTCGGTCTGCGAGAGAGAGGCACAACATAGCGGCGTTGTTTGTATTTGGACCCCCCCCACCCCCGCCATCTCTCCCTCTCTCTCTCGCCACCCCCACACGACCAGGAGTCGAACTCAGGTTGGCCGGGGGGTCGCAGCGACGCAAGTAGGCGCAACTCGTTGGGCAACCACCGACTCGTACACAACAGCGCACGCGTGGGTAGTTGTTGTTAAGTAGAGGGTGATGAATACTTACACAGACAACAACACAAACAACAACAAATCCGAGAGAGAGACCCCCCGCACGCGCACTGCAGCGAGGGGATGCGATTCCACAGTTTGTGTTCGTGGTGTTCGTGGGCACGTGGCCATGAATCATCGAATCTTATTCTTTTCGCGTTCTGACGATCACGATAACGGGGATCACTTCGGAGCGAGCGAGGATCGGTGATTTTGGTTGTTGTTGTTGCAGACGATTTGTTCACGTCAATCCACTATGAAGACAACAACTAGAACATCTGGAGTGGAAACAGTGGGAACGGTCGCGATGATGATGATGATAATTATAATAA